TAGTCACATGTATTGTTTCTTCCAGAAGCTTGATATTCTCGTTTCTATGTCCAGTATGGCGATCCCCCTTGAAGTGACTTTTGGGCAGGGTATTTTTTTTTTCCCCATTCTGACACGTAGTTGTCCAAGCAAATTTTGTGGGAAGGTCTTTCCTGTCCTCCCTGAATAGTTTTGGCACCTTGGGCAACAATCGTGGCCATACAGGTAGTCTCCTGGACTTCCTCCCTCTGCACACCTTCATACTGATACCACACTGCCCACACTGCTGTATTTTCTGGTAGTTTCTGAAATCTGAGGTCAAAGTCCTTCACTTTTATTCTTTTCCCAGATTGTTTTGGCTTTTCCTGGTCCTTTGTGTTTCCATACAAGTTTTAAGGTTTCTGTGCCAATTTCCACAAAAAGCTCGGGGTATTTGCTCAAGCTGGACTGGGTCTGTGGGTCACTCTGGGGAGGAGAGCTCTGTCAGTGTCTGCCAGTGTGTTGGGAAGGCCCTGCCTCCTCCCCTCCCCCCTCCTGCTGTTGGTCGCCAAGGATGGAACCCGGCCCTCCTGCAGGCCAGGCACCTGCTCAGCCTGAGCCACCCAGCGCCCAGCCCTTGCAAGTGCACCCGGGCTCCCGAGAAGGCACTCAGAATCCCTGCCTGCTTCAGGGGTCAGCTGTGGTGACCTCGTGAAGCGAGTGGCAACTGTCCCCTCCTTTCTTGACTGTCTTGCTGGGGAGGCTGCCTGGCTGGGGCCTGGTGGAAAGCTCGGCAGATGTGACACTTCCAGGGGACTCGCTTCTGCTGGTGTCAGTTTGGTCATCTGTTCCTTTAAGGAACTTACTTTATCTAAGCTGCTGAATTAACTTCATTTCCTTGTCCCACAGGGTCTCCCATTCCGGACACTTCCAGGGCTCTGTCCATCTCTGGTTCTGGTCTTTCTTGCATCCCTTCTTGTTTCTATTTGAGTTTGATTTGTTCCTTTTTCAGCTCCTGTTTTTGGTACCAGGGAATGAACTCGGGGGCACTCGACCACCGAGCCACCTCCCCAGCCCTATTGTGTCTGAGTTGCTTAGTGCCTCGCTGTTGCTGAGGCTGGCTTTGAGCTCTCAATCCTCCTGCCTCAGCCTCCTGAGCACGGGGAGAACAGGCATGGCCACTGCGCCCAGCTCCTCTTCAGGCTTCTTAAGCTCAACTGGATCACTGCTTCTACACTTTTATTTTCTTGTAACATAAATGACTTCCAACCGGGTGTGGGAGGCTGAGGCAGAAGGATCCAGTCCTGAAGCCAGTCTGGGCAGCTTAGTGAGATTCTGGTTAAAAGGACTGGGGATACTCCTGGGTTCAATCCCCAGTACTAGAAAAGGTAATTATTTAACTGCTCTTGTAATTGCTGAATTTTCAAGTGCCTGGTATTCTCCAGGTTCTTTAAGGGTCTGTGGCGTGGTACGTGGTGAAGGAACCTGCCTGCACCTCCTGGACCTGCCGAGACCACTGGGCTCAGGGTGGCTGCCACAGTGCTGTGGCTCCCAGGGCTGTGGCCCTGCTTCTCCCTACCCCCGGCTTCCTGGCTACTTCCTGGTTGCTGCTCTGGGGACGACACTTCCTTCCATTATCAAGCTGCCTCAAGGGAGGAGGGCCTCATGACCTGAGGCCCCTTGGCAGCTGCCAGGTCCTGCACTTGCTGGCCAAGCACTCCTCTGTGGGCCAAGCACAGAGCCTCCCGCAGGTTCAATGACAAAGCACCATCACTGTCATCTGTTACCTGCTTTAATAAGGCAGCCTCGACTCCCTGCTGAAGTGACTTCACCAACATCCCTGCGAGAGAGGCATAAACAGTGTGCTCAAAATACTTCCTATGAATACTGTTCCACCTGGCCCAGGTGTGAACTTCCACTCATCACTACAAGGAGTCTCTCCTCGGGACGGCTGACCCAGGGTGCAGGCAGGAAGCACCAGGAACAGCTCAGGCCAAAAAGCAGGAGAGTGCCTGGAGAGCAGTGGGAGGACGTGTCCAAGGAGGCAGGGACGGGTCCAGGGCCCCCCGGCCCAGTCTGAAACAACACACCATCCAAGAGTACAAGGGGCCGGGGCACCCACTTGGCCGGCGAGGACGACAGACCCCAGGCCTAGGACCTGCGGTGACATCACGCTGGTTAAGGAAGAAGGGTGAGCAGCAACAGGAGTTGCTCTCGCCCAGCCACCTGCCTGCGCAGGCGCCATCCAAGTGCAACCCTAGCAGAGCTGCTGGCAAAGGGTGCCGCAGGACCACAGGACACCCCAAAGACCTCTCCCTGATCCAGAAGCAGGCGGGAGTGACTTCAGCAGAGTGGCCTGACTCTACATCACTGACAGGGACAGACAGACATGTGTCTTGGGGATGACACAAGGGATTCTGCACAGCCGCACCCACGCAGGGTTGCTGCGGAGACCATGGGCAGCACCCTGCCAGAGACAGAATGGGAGAAGCACCTCTGGCAAGGCTGTGGTCTGGCTTCTCCAAACACGTCAAAGCCACAACACACATCCAGGTGTGTGGGGGAGCAAGGGGTGCGTGTGGGCCTGAGCCTCAGAAGGTGGGCACAGGGGTGCTCGCAAGCCACTTGAAAAACCAGCCCCCAGGTGACCATGCTCAGACAGGAACAGCTCAGGCCACATGGGGGCACATGGAGAGCTACTGCCGAGCTCTGATGCCAGCTCTCAGCAATGCAGAGGCGTCCAGAGGGCCGTCCCTCTGCAGGGCTGTCGCCAGAACCCTGTCCTAGGGTCCGCGGAGCTCATGAGACCACACCAGAAGGCCCTGGGCCTCCCACCTGTGCAGGCAGACCCGTAACCACCGCCGTCCATCACTCCTCTTAATGCAAAAATCAAGCTGAGGACAAAGTGAGAACTCTTGTGTTCAGAGATCTTTTGCTACAGGAATAGATTTTAGATCCTCTCCTCACGTGTCTGAGGTGGTAATAAATTTCAAGGCTCACTGCTGGCTTCAGGAATGAGTTCCACATGCCAGGCAGCCGGGACACCTGGCAAGATCACCACAGCACAAAACGTAACCAGAGTGCATGTGTCAGAGGGCTCTGACCCCGCCAGCTGCCAGCTCCTCTGCCTGCGCTCCGCTTCAGGAAAAGGGGCTCAGGTTCTATCTATTAGGAGACTCCCAGCTGCTGTCCCTGGTGGTGGCCAGCAACTGGGCTCCAGATGTGCCCTGGGACAATGGCAATCAGCTAGGCGGCATGAGCTTGAGCCCTGGAGGGGGCTGTTCCCAGATAGCACTCCCCGTGGCCAGGAGGAGACTGTTGGCCACTGCTGGGGGCCACTAGCATTCAGTGCTGGAATGCCCCCCAGAGGCCCACAAGCTAAAGGTTTGCTTACCAGGGTGGACCTATGGGGGGTGGGGGGCACCCCTGGAAGGGACGGGAGGACCCTCTGCTTTGGGGCATGAGGCCCAGTTTCCACTCTGCACTCCCACCGTGTGCTGCCTCACCACAGCCTGGGCTAAAACCTCCCAAAGTGAGCCAAAGTAAACCTTTTCTTTTAAATATTTACTTTTTTAGTTTTTGGTAAACACACAACATCTTTAACTTTTTACGTGATGCTGAGGATCGAACCCAGCGCCCCGTGCATGCCAGGCGAGCGCACTACCGCTTGAACCACATCTCCAGCCCCAACCTTTTCTTAAAAGCTGTTACCTCGGGTCCTTGACCTGAGAGCAGAACTGCCTGAAACGAGCGGAGGCAGTCTGGGAGGGTGGCTTCCACGTCTGTTTTTATATCTTTTGGCATTGGGGGTGAACCTGGGACTCCATCTTGCCAGGGCTCAGCACACCGCCATCCTAAACGTGGACACTGGCCTGGCTCTCCAGGAGCAGCTGAATCAGTGCTCAGGAGGCACCCACAGGACACTGTCCCTTTGGGAGCGGCAGCCTCAGCCCTGGCACCGTCATATACTGCCCAGGCACCAACTCCCCACGAGACCCGAGGCCACCATGTTGGGAGGTCTGCCCCTCCTTCTCTGTTCCTGCCACTGGCAAGGGGGCAGGCGTTGTCGGTGGGTCCTGCTTCAGGGCTATGCTGAGGGAACCCAGCTCCCAAGTTAGGCTGTGCGAGAGCCCCATGGAGGCCCCAGTGCTCCCAGTGACAGTGCTGCTGCGGAGACTATGGCCGTCATCCTGGGCAGCTAGTGACACAGGTGGACACAGCTTCAGACCCCTCTAGCCAGGATACCCAAGCAGCCTACCTGGAGCGAGTCCGCTTCCTGCTGGCTCCGGGGCTGCTGCTCATGCGGTAGGCAGTGGGGACGCTCCTGTCTTCCCGCCGTCTCTCTGGGGAGTGAGCTCTCCTCCGAGGGGACCGGGAGCGTGACCTGGACAGAGTAACGTGGCATTCAGTTCTGCTGTCTGGTCTCCTGGTGTGCACTCTCTCTTGCCTTAGCCTGCAGGGTGCCCACAGCAGATGCCCACTCCGGCCAACCAGCTTCAGCGTCACCCTGGGAGGCATATGCCTCTGCCCATTCCACAGCGCTGTACCCAGGTACCAGTCTTGGAGGCTACCACTGCCAAACACTGCCACCCAGCCAGCCCAGAATGCTGGGCCTCCTTCCTCCTGCTTGAGGACTGGCGCTCACAGGCATGGCCCTCACCTCTGCAGAGGAAAGGCACTGGGTGCCTGGCACCCCAGACCTCATGGCCTGTGCAGGAGCAGGCAGGGACATGTCAGGTCTGCTGGCTCAGAGCCCCACCTTCGCCTGGCCCAGAGCATGCCGTCCTGACAGTCTGGGCTAAGTAATGCAAGTTCATGGGATTCATGGATGCAAAATCACCCCCGAATATTTACTGGCCCTTCCCTTGTGTCTAAAACAAGGTTCCTTCTATCCATGTCATGATATGATCCATACATAGCCAGAAAGACCCTCCAGACCCTTTCCCACTTGGGACAGAAAAGGTTAAAACGACACCTTTGGGATTTTTCACTCTATTAACTCAGCAAGAGTACCATTTCAGGGCGGGCCGCTGCGGCCCGGCATGGCGGCGTGGAGCCCCGCCGCGGCAGCGCCTCTGCTCTGCGGGAGTGCAGCGCCTTTGCACTGTGTCCACCGGATGTTTGCATCCCAGACTGAAGGGGAGCTCAAAGTGACTCAGATTCTCAAAGAAAAGTTTCCTCGAGCTACAGCTATCAAAGTCACTGACATTTCAGGAGGCTGCGGGGCAATGTATGAAATTAAAATCGAATCAGAAGAATTTAAGGAGAAGAGAACTGTCCAGCAGCACCAGATGGTTAATCAGGCACTAAAAGAAGAAATCAAAAGCATGCACGGACTGCGGATCTTTACCTCCGTCCCCAAGCACTGACCACACCCTGACTGCACAGATGCTGCTGCCTGAAGCCCTGGGTGAATTTCACTGATGGCATTCTTCCCAAGGCATTTGCCAAAAACTTTTATCTATTTTTGGTCATAGACATTTCTATATTATAATTATAGAAGAGATGTTATCTATTTAGATGTTAATTAAAGGCCACAGATACCTGAAAAAAAAAAAAAAAAAAGAGTACCATTTCAGGAAAAGTCTGCAATGAGCAGACTCTGGCAGGGATCTCTTCTCTCCAGGCCATCTTCATGACAGCCCATCCAGAAACGAGATAAAGAGCAGCTGGATTTCGCCACTTAAAAAAGTTTTTCACTGAATCATTTTAATTATGGTAAAACCCAAAGCAACACACACCGTGGTTCGGAAGACCAGCTCACTAAGGCATCTACCCTCTGGTGTTGCAGGAAGCACCCTGGCCCTGATAAGCCTGCTCCAACATAAGGAGGATGCAGGGTCTTCTCTGCTGGACCTCTGGAAGGTGTTGTGTGTCGGAAATGTCCCTGGGCTCCCCCCAACAGATGCCAGGGCCAGGCCAGTCAGAGCCCGTGACGTCTTGCCAGGTGCCCCACAAGAGCTCCAGAGGTCAGGTCTGCTGGAGGCCAGGCTGCCTGAGCGCTCCTGCTGGGCTGCTGGTGCATCTGCTCAGGGCACACACTTCTCGTTCAGAGTGTGTAAAGCTGGGCCGGGCACTACAGAATGGGGAAAGCATTCGGTTGAGCAGAGCCTTCACACCTGCAGGATGCTGGACAGAGCTCTACCACGCACCCGAAGATCAGTAAAGACGATGAGCCCAGTGCCTGCAGCCACACTCTTCAGAGGGAAGGGGCAGCTCCCACCAGCCTCCACGACCTTGGGAAGGAGCCCCTCAGAGCTCAGAGCTCTCCGGTCTCACTTTAAGGAAGGACACTTGATGCTTTCCATTCTATCGAGTGGGGTTTTCACAGTGACATGACTCAGTGCCAGGAAAGGCACTCCACTTGTCAGCCAATCGTCCCATGTATCCAGAGTCTTTGACAAAGGCAGATGACCTTAACACTTCTTGCACAATCCCAATAGTCTGCTCAAAAAATAAGGGCATTGGGAGACTTTTCTCCAAGGATGAAATTCCAGAAGTTTTATCTGGATGCAGTGGCCACACTTGTAAGTGGCCTCTTTTCACCCCAGACCACCTGTGTGGGGTGCTTGCTTTGTTTGTCTCACTGCTCACAGGTCTTGGCAACAGGTGACTCGGGTACTTGGGAGCTGGGGTCGGCCAGCCCAGCTCAACCCAACCACCAGGAGACTCCTGCCTGGCAGTTCCCATGCTCACATGGCTGGTCTCTCTGAGGCTGAGGTGCAGACGCCTGGCACCTGTGTGTGCTCACAGTTCACCTGATATTAGCGACTACCCAGGCCGGCATGCTAACCAGTGCCACCCGGGGCACTTTAAGCACCCGGTTTCTTCTTTAAAAAACAGGACTGAGACACAGAATTATCTTTTACTGTTTTGCTGTGCACTTTATCATGGGAAGTAAGGACAGTAAAGATCACATCTAGGGCTGGGTTGTGGCTCAGCGGTAGAGCCCTCACCTAGCATGTGCAAGGCCCTGGGTTCAATCCTCAGCAGCACATAAAATAAATACATACATAAATAAAGGAAAGAAAGAAAGAGAGATATTGTGTCCTGTCAACAGCTACAACTAAAAAATAAATATAAAAAAAAAATTACATCTGATTCAACTTTGCCTACCTGAGTTATTTCTGAACGTTAAATACAGTCATTTTCAAAAAAGTCTTATTAACCCCCTTAAGGTACATTGGGAGCTAACTTTTGGGGAAAAAACACATCTTTACTGCACAGATCCTCTGCACGGGGAAGTCCTGAAGACCTGTTCAGAACCCACGGCTGAGCCCCAGACACCAGAGGAACACCAAGGGAGCTCACCAAGGCTTACAGGCTAGTGGAGGATCAAGCACCAGCCTTGCTAATTCAGTGTAGTGACACTTAACACTGAATCCATACTGAATTTTACACGAGTGAACTACATCAGTACTTCTTCCTTCCATTAAAACAATGGACCTTACGAAAACACAGATAAAACCAGCTGCAGCACAGGTGAGGAAGTCTTACACGTCTGTCAGTCAGTGCTGGCTAAGATGCTGAGTATCACCTCGTCAAAACCAGTGATCGGGCTGGGCTGGGCTCAGCAGTAGAGCGCTTGCCTAGAACATGGAGGCACTGAGTTCCATCCTCAGCACCACAGGAAAATAAGTAAATAAAAAATAAAGGTATTGTGTGCATCTACAACTACGAAAAAAATTAAAATAAACGAACAAAAACCAAACCAGCGAGCTTCTTGAGAAATAACACACGGGTTTTGTGAAACTAAAGATTTTTGCTATAACTTGCATCTGGAAGTCCGAAGCCACCTATGGCTGGGACGACTTGAGTGAGAGGGGCTTCAGCTAGATAAGCAGCCCACAAACAGATCTGCTGGGACAGAAAGAGCTTCCCAGTCTCACACCACTGCAACTTACAGGGGCTACCTGACTCCACAGTGTGAACCTCAGCTGAAGCACCCTACCACAATCAGAAATGCTAAGAACTGTGGTGTTGAATTTAAAAATTTTTGATACCTCAGCCCCATCTCCAACTTTTAAAAAATTTTGAGAAGGGTCTACTAAGCTATTGAGGCTGGCCTCAAACTTGCAATCCTCCTGCCCCAGCCTTGTGAGTTGCTGGGATCACAGGCCAGGGCCACTGTGCCTGGTGTGGTATTGCACTTGGAGCTGGCAGCAGTTAGCACTTTCAATATTTTGGTTAAAATTTAGTTGTCTTTTAACACATCAATAATACATATTATGGGAGAGAACACCATCCTTTCCTATCTTATTTACAACTGTGGCTTTTGGTGGTGCTGGGGTTGGACCCAGGATTGCGCACATACTGGTGAGCTCTCCACCACTGAGCCACACCCAGCCCAAGGACTGCAGTGTGTTAACTCCCCTCGGGCTCCAGGAATGGCGAGTGCTGGCAGGGCTCAGGTGGAGCCAGCAGATCTGCCCCTGGAACATGCCACTATCTTCTGAAGGAAGAGATGAGGCAGGGTCCAGGTGTGAGGGTCCAGGGGGGCACCCGGACTGCCAGGCAGGAGAGGCAGTTACCGAGAGGCACTCGGCAGATGCCAGCTCTGGGCACAGAGCTCACTGGAAGGCTTTGTTTCACGATATTATCACATGTACTTTATGATATGATAAAGCTGTTCTTTTCCTTGACTGAAACTGACAGCCTACCATCAGACAGAAAGCATAATGAGGAAACGGCCACTTGCCCACCTCTTATCTAAGATGTAAACACATTAAGGAAGATCAAGTAATCCCCAAGTTACCGTGTTAGCACTCAGTCCATGATAAGGACACAGACCCACAGCCCTACAGCGCCTGTGCTGGGTGGTGCTCTTGGTCATGAGCACCCACCTGGGCACAGCCTGAGGCCAAGGAACCCCACCAAGCTAGGCAGGCAGGGCATGTGCAGCCCTGGGTACCAGGTGCTTCACCCACACCACTTGTGGAGCCAGAGAAGAGCCCGTAGCTCAGATGGGCACGGGACCTTCATCACTGGCCCCTGAGCAGGGATCACAATGAATTGTTTTTGCTTGTCCGAGCCAGAGGGGAAGGAAACCGGGAAGAAATCCCTGCATGTGCTGCAGTGGGGCCTGGTCAACTCTGGCGTATATTTTCAGTTCCGTAATGGCAAAAGGAACTTATTCAATTTTTTAAATTTCAGAATTCCTGGGGCTTAAAAAAAAATATCAAAAGCATGTTAGCAGGGCTGTTAATTTAATTAAAAAATAACAAGATTTTTATGTTTTTTTTTTTTTTTTTTTGCCGGGTGTAATGACAGGAAGTAGATGATCAGGTCCACCTGTCAGGAAGGCAGGTCCAGGTCAACACAGACAGGCACACATAGGCCGCCAGGCCTCCAGGACTGTCCTGGGCAGGGACACAGCACAGAGACAAATGGGCATATGGTTTTCAACAGTTAAGAGTGCAGGGCATCTGCATTTTTCCTATGGGAGAGGTGACAGCGATTCCAAAAAGAAACACCAGGCACCCGCAATGTGAGAGCTGTGTGAGAAAAAATGTGACAGATCCAAAGGCATGAGCCCTAGGGATGGGCCATGCCTGAGCCTCTGGCAAGCTAGCCACAGCTGTACCTCATTTTAAGAGGTTTTACCAGGCAGTAAGCTCTGAGGCCCTGGCAGGTGCTGGCCCCAGTGTTTACTGCCTTCTCAGAACCGGATCCTGAAGAAGGCTCTGTTCAACAGTGGGATGCTGGGACAGCAGAGGGATTAAATGAGAAGACAAATTTATACTCCTGCCTCGTCCAAGCATGAACCAAGCAGCAGAGATTTCTTCTGTACTGAAATTTGTACGCTCAAAATAAACCAGGAAGGGACTTTCATACCAACAGGAGACCCATGCCACCCTGCGAACCTTCTCACACTCAGCACCATGCCAGGCCTGCTTTCCTGACCTGTTACAATTTAAATAAAGCTTTGACTTTTCCCTTTCTTCATCTTTTTTTTTTTTTTTTGCTTGGTAGTAGTTGGTGATCTTTTTTGGTGCTGGGCACTCAACCCAGGGCCTCATGCATGCTTGGCAAGTGCTCCACCACGAAGCCACATCTTGGCCTGTCTTATTTACTTATTTTAGTCTTTATTTAATTTTTTATACTGAGAATTGAACTTGGGGTCGCTTAACCACTGAGCCACACCCCCAACTTTTTAATTTTTTTAGACAGGATGCTGCTAAGGTTGCTGAGGCTGGAGTAGAACCTGCTGTCCTCCAGCCTTAGCCTCCTGAGCCACTGGAATCCCAGGTGTGGCCACCACGCCTGGTTGAAGGACTTATCTGCAGGACACAGACACCCACATGCACATCTGCCCAGGCACATGGGGCTGCAGCTAAGCTTTCTGCCCAGCTCTACTGGCACCAGCAGGAGGAGGATCCACAGACAGGAGGGCTTTGGGCACTGCCCCGCACACCCACCTCGACCGCCGCACTGTCCGGTAGGCACTGGGAAGCGCGTGCTTGGCTTTTGAGTGTGACCTAGACCTGGACTTGGAAGATGCATGGTACTTGGGAGAGCGTGACCTAGTTCGAGACCGTTTTTTGTGCTTTTTCTTTTTCTTTTCTCTTTCTTCTTCTCTCGGTGGATCTCTGCTTTTGCTTGAAGGCCTTTCTGGTGGCTTCACTTCTAAAGTAGGCAGAGGTCTGCCTCCAGTCAGTACAGGACAGGGCACAGCACTGGCTTCCTAGGAACAGAAGCAAACGGGACAACAGGATGTTTTAGAACACAGACCACACAAGAGCAGCTTTGGGTCCCTCACACGCAGATGCCTTGCACTCTCAGGAAGTACTGCCTCTCTGAGAGCCCTGCCCTCAGGAGGACCACAGCACACACCTTATACCGAAAGGGCACACGGACCCCAGAGGCTCTTCCTGCACAGTAACTCCCCACCACAGTATTGAAGTTCACTATGTTAAAAATTCTGTATTTGCTATTCAATGACTTTCCACTAAAACAGATTCTGTAAATCTCCAATACGAGGGTTTTCATACATCCGAATGCAACTTTTTTGCAAGTCTTAACCAGAGGAGGAGGTACCTCTTGGAGTGCAGGAAAACTTTGGGTGACAGAGGCATGCTCCAGGGTGCACAAGTCTCACTGCACTGCAGGGAGCCTCACAGCAGGAGCACGGCACCCAGATGTAGGGCAGCTGCCTCCCCAGAGGGGCAGCTGCACTTTCAGGCCACAGCTCAGCTGGAAGCAGATTCTGACCAAATGTTGAAGCCTCTAAAAACTTCTCACTTGGAATTCTACTGTGAGGCTTGTGGAACGTGTCCCCGGACACCACAGGGGCCCTCAACAGAGGCACTGTCAGCAGCTGGCTTGGCATTTGGGAATCTGCCTGGTGAGTGGCTGTCCTCCCTGGAGACCACCTGACAAGGGCAGATGGGTGGGCCTCTCACAGGCCACTTCCAGAGCTTGCTTCTCATTGCAGCTCTGAGAGGAGGAGCCAGTCAGGGGTGCTCTGTGGGGCAGGTAGCTGTCTAGGATCCAACGGCCACTGGAGCTGGCTGCTTCAAGATGTGAGACCCTCCAGCCTCCCTGCTGCCTACACCCGGTGTGCATCTCTACACGCCTGCACACTAAGCAGAGGCTCCCAAGGCAGCAGTGGCAGCACATGGGCTGGAGTCCCAGGGAGCTGTTATCCGCAGTCCGTTCTCATTAAAGGAACTCAGTCACCGGAGCTGTGGAGCGCAGGCTTCAGATGGCCCCGCACCCCCATCTGCAAGGTGGCTTCCGCGTCTATGTTTATGTGCAGGCTTATTTCTCTTAGATTTGTTTGTCGTTGGAGCACATTAGTGGGGTTCATCATGCTACATTCAGACAGGCACATGAACATGATAATCTGATCAATTTCACTCCCCAGTATTTTCCCTCTCCTACCTCTACCAGGTTTGCTATTTTTTTTTTTTTTTTTGGTACTGGGGATGGACCCAGGGTGCCCCACCACTCGGCTACATCCCCAGTTTTTCATTTTGAGATAGACTCTTTCTAAGTCTCTGAGGCTGGCCTGGGAACCTGTAAGCTTCTTGTCTCAGCCTCCTTCTCTGGGATCATGGAGTGGCCACCATGCCCAGATATTAAGGAATTTCCTAATATCTCCAGGGACCATTTCTCAAGGGAACCCATTTCAACGTGGGCCAGTTCTTGTCAAAAACGTCTTTCTCACTCAAATTCTATTAGAATAATATTTTTTTTCAGGTTTAGTATAAAACTATCTCACTGTTACAAGAGTTTAATATGTAAACATTCCACTGCACACACTAATAAATGATGTTTTAAATCACAGGCAGCCACTTTGCAGCTTCACCTGTGTCCCCGTGTGCAGAGGCACAGCATGGTGAACAGGCGGAGTGCAGTACCTCTCAAGGTGAGCAAGGGGGAGGCAGGCTGGGTGTGGGACAGCTCGCGGATGCTGGACTGCCAGAAAAATTAGCTCTGTGCCCTTCAGAAAGGCCAGCAGTCTCAGAGCGCAAGGAGTGCACCCTGCATGAGATGTGCGAGCCCCCACTAACCCTGACGGCACCCGAGGCTTCCTAGAGCCTACTAACATGTGCCAAAGGCCATTCTGAAAGGACGGATGGGGCTTCCCAGAGTGAAGCACGTCACTCCTCACCCTCTGCCCTCACACCAGGTGGGTAGGGCAGGGGCACGAGCTGCTTGACCGCAGCCTGCCAACCTCTGTCCCACTGAGGCTGCGGCTCCACTGAAAGGAGGGGTTGGTCTGAAATGAGACCTTCACGATGCGAGCTGCGGCCCAGCTGAGGGTCTACTTATTCTAAAGAGATGGTTGTCCTTCCCTGTTAAGGTGGAAACAGGCAGCCACGGTGGCCTCTCGGTAGCCCTTGTCACCGGCAGGAGAGCAGAGCTGTGTCTGCGTAAGTGGCTGGGGGATGTGGATAGGCGCTGACGTGCTATTACAGCCAGGTCCAACTCTACGATCAAGAGTTCACAACTGTCGGGATTCTTTTTTTTTTTTTTTTTGAGACAAGTCATTCTGTGTTGTCCAGGCTGATTTCCAAGTTCTGGGCTCAAATGATCCTCTAGCCTCAGCCTCCCAAGTAGCTGGGACCACAGGCACTGGTGGGCTCGAAAACTGTAGAGAAACATCAAGGCCGAATCAACACCTAGTTAGCTGCTCCTTCTAGGCTTTGCTGCAAAAGCCGGTTTGTCCTTGGTGAGCGCAACCATAGGCACCGCATTCAACACACGAGGCCACCGCGTACCTGACGTGGCTAGCCAACACAAAGGACAGAATCCTCACTCTACTTGATGTTAATCAAATCAGTCAGTGTGGCTAGGAACCCCATACTGTAGTGTACACCCAACAATAACTGTCAACGTCAATGACAACTTACACCGTTTAACATTTACACTGCCTTGTTTAAGGATTCCGGATTCCCAGTTGTCTTAACCGAAACTACTCTTAACTGGGTGGTAGTGTACAGATGTAATCCCAGTGACTGGAGAGGCTAAGTTGGGAGGACCACAAGTTCCAAGCCAGTCTTAGCAACTTAATAAGACCCTGTCTCACAGTAAAAAGTGAAAAAAAGGGCTGGGGACTTAGCTCCATGGAAGAGCACCCAGGGTTCAACCACAGTATGGAAAAACAACAGACAACCTCCATCCCCGCTCCCCTGCCAACTACACATATGAGCAACTGGAGTAAAATTAAGTGGTCACTATCTAAGTCTGGACCACACTCCAACCCAGTGCCAGCACTGCTGCTGCTTGGGGTCTGAGGGTGCCTGGCCCAGCCTATGGAGAGTGGCAGGCAGAAGCTGCCCAAGGCCACAGAGGCAAGGTTAGCAGCTGCAGCACTGACTCTTCAAGGGTCTCCCAGGAACTAAAGCTGCCCTTTCAGAAAGGATTTTAACACTCCAGCAAAAATAATCAAAGTTGGGCTGGGGATGTGGCTTAAGTGGTGCTTGCCTGGCATGCATGGGGCGCTGGGTTCGATCCTCAGCACCATATAAAAATAAAGATGTTGTGTCCACCGAAAACTAAAAAATAAATATTAAAAAAATCTCTCTCTCAAAAAAAAAAAAAAAAAAAAAAGACCAAAGCCCAAATTATGACCGGACACAGGGTGGGGCAGGTGTTAAGCAAGACCTGGAGGAATCATGGAGGACTCCTGCATAAATCACTTATGAACACGGAACACCCACTGCCCACGCCCCACAGGCTGACAAACCACACTGGGTGCTCCTGGACCCACACTGCCTGCCTCCTGCACCTCCCACCACCCTACCCACTCCACGGGCAGGCGTGGCCAGGCTGCTCTTGGCTACCATGTGTGCTCAGCATGTTGGGTGCCCCACAAACTGTTGGCCACTGCCACCCCTTCCAGCTTTGCCCAAGTACTTCACCCCTGGGCAGCTGGCCAGAGGCCCAGGCTCACCACCACCAGCCCCCACCCCCCCACTGCTGGCTGTGTACACGGGACAGCACGGCCGCTGGTCCACAGACAGTCCTGGTTCACATGCCCACAGCCTCAGACCCTGGAGCCCACAGGCTCGCAAACAGGTTGACTTCTATCACCATTTCCTTTCCGAGTTTTATTCGACAGGACTAACAGCTTAAAAAGAATTACTAGAATCCAAAAAGCCCTAAAATGTTTACGACTAGTGACTGACTAGTAGTAATCCAGAAGGGTGGGCATCCACGACCCCTGTCTTTGTTTTAAGAACACAGGCACACACCAAGAACAAAGGCAGTCCACGCACAGGCTTGTGGGTACCAGTGTCCTGTCAACACCAGTCTAGGCCAACGTGCACACTGCAAGACAGCATCCCAAATGATATTCAATAAGGGCACTTTTTTTTCTTTAAAAATTTTTTTTTTGATACCAGGGACTGAACCCAGGGGGTGCTCAACCACAGAGCCCAGACCAACACAGCCTACAGCACACTAAACACAGGAGAGTGCTTGTCCTTAAAACACGTGAGCAGTACCAGGGCTGCTCCAGGGAGCCTGAAGAGAAGGCAGGAGCACTGCAGCCAGGCCGTGTGCCCGGCCTTCGGAGCGTGTCCTCCCCTCCTGGCAGGGTCCTCTTGCACTCAGTGCCTGCTCAGCTGGCCACAGCTATGGCCATTTGGCGGTGCCTCACACTGCCTCACCTAGGGGTACCAGTGGCCACACCTGGTCCTGTCTCAAGTCCCCTGGGCTCTAAACACATACATTTACTATCTGCAACCGTGGGGATGGAGCCAGCAAGTGCTCACACCAGCCACGTTCCTGGTTCACCCTTTTGTGGTTCTGGGGATGGAAGTGGGAGTGCTTGGCCACTGAGCTACGCAACCAACTCTTTTTATATTTTTTTGAGACAAGGTCTGGCTAAGTTGCTCAGCCTGGACTTGAAGTTGTGATGCTCCTGCCTTGGCCTCCTGAGTCACTTGGATTATAGGTGTGTGCCACAATGCTCGGCTTGGGCTAAATACACACACAAGCTAAGGCTTGAACCCAGGGCCTTGGGCATTCAAGGCAAGTGCTCTACCAACTGAACTCCATCCCCAGCCCCAGGCTAAAAGTATCTTTGAGCTTGACTCTTGCTCATGACAACTGCCAATTTAATTACAAGTACCTCTGCTTCAGGGCTACTGAGACAGCCATTACCATCTGCAGCTACCACTGCATCTATGCTGAAAAGGTTCAGTGGCTGTGAGCTGAAGGATGCCTGTCCAGGAAGAGTCACCCAAAGATCTGGACACTCAAATCACTTCCACGAAGCACAGCCCAAACCAAGATGAACACAGGAAGACAAAAGGCCCCGTATAGGACACGCTGCGGGGAAGGGACACTTCTGGCAGCTGTGACTGCGTTCCCACTAGGACACCATGCCCTGGAGCATTCTGGGGCTCGAGTACAACACAACTGGCCCAAGTCTCTGCCTGCAAATGTCCCTCGGGAACCCTTCCCTCTAGCACACCGACGGGAACACAGGCCCCATTTTAAACCAGCCCCCTGCAGCCCTGCCATGGGAGCAGCTCCCGGTTCTCTTGGGCTTCTCCCTCCTGCTGCCTGCACCAGCTCAACTCACCAGGAAGCGCAGATGCCGCACCTCCTGCTTCTCCTCGGAGAGCACCAGAAGTACCTCAGCGTCAGTTGCTGCCTGACAGCCTTCAGGTGGTGCCCACTGTTCCCTCACCAGAGCCAGTCTATGGAGAACTCTGACGAAGGCAGAGGACAACACCCCTCAAGGAGCTCATGCCAAAATGGTGCTGAGGACCGAACCCAGGGGCTCTGCCACTGAGCTGCACCCCTGTCCTATTCTCAGACACCCTTGAAATACGATGTAAATACCAAACAAGACTCAGGTGGGACTGCTATAAAGCATCTGAAAGTCAAGACTTGGAGCTGGGTATGGCTCGGTGGTAAAGCATTTGCCCTGATTCGACCCCTCACACCACGAGAAGGCTCCCCAATCACCAAGCGACTGACTGAAAAAATCACAATTTAAATGATTCTAAATCAATGCATCTAGGAAAAGAGCAGATCTCTCGCTGAATGCTATGGCCACTGCTGAAGTCGTCAGGGTATGGAGGTCCCTGGTCCAAGTGCTGCTCCAAGCTCCTTCTGTAGGGGAGGCTCCTAAGCACCATGTCACATCCTTGCTGGGGCTGAGTTCCTGGCCACACTACTTGAAAAGCAGCTGTCCGTGCTCACACAACTTTCCCCCTGTGGTGCTGGCTATGGAACCTGGGCCGGGAGCACATCCACCTCTGGGCCTCAGCCCAGCGCACGCCCTGGTGTGGACTCCCTGCCCCAGCACAAGCTCGCAATGTGCCTGATGCGGCTAAGACTCTGCTTCAGTTACGAGTCAGACCACCTCCCACCACAGACCCCGTGCAACCCCCACAAAGCCCTCCTGTTGGCCAGCCCACAAGGTGGCCAAGAGCAGAACATCAGACAGCACCTGGGGTGGATGGCACATGTGCACTCAGGGCCGCCAGTAGGCTCATGACTGAGGCCCAGCCTCACAGGAGGCAGGAGCTGGGCTGCCAGCACCTCCCTCTGGTTGGACACTGCAGAGTTGGGAGAGCCCGTGCTCATATGATTTCACCTACCAAACTCCCCAAGAACACCAACGCAGACTTTCTTCAACATACCTCTACACTGAAAGGACTCTCCTCAATCTTTCCAACTTCTGCTTCTGGCAGAGGATTTTTTAAAGTTTGCAAAAATAAGGCTGCTTTCCTTTTACGTTCTGCCTGAAGCTGCTTCTCCTTTGACTCCTTGGATGCCTGGGCCAGTTTCTCCCGGGCAGCAGCAGCAAGGCGGTCCTCCAGCTTCTGCTTTGCTAAAGGAATGGCAGAGAAAAAAAAAGAGTCTAGAATAAGCAGTATCTGTCTTAACTCCCACACAATGCAGCTATGATGATGACACCGATTTCAGAATCGGCAGACAGGGCGGGCAAATCACAGCAGCTTGTTTTGAGGAGGGGCACTCTGCTTTCAAAGTTGGCAGGCTGGTGGGTTCCAAACCAGCAGGAGCTCCAAGATGGCTCTGGCTCAGTGCAACCATTAACAACCCTTGCAGATGGGACACTCTCTGAAGAGCCTTGCTCCACGTGACCCAACACCTGTTGAGCTCATGTGCAGGAGGTGCAGGTTTGGACGTACAGACCAAGCACAGCTGCTGGGGTTGGCAGCTGCAGTATGGTGCCAGCTCCTGACAGGAGGCCTGCTGTGGCCAAAGAGCTACCTGTCGGGGGTGGCCTGACCTGTTTGTGTTCACAGAAAAGGCAACTCAAGAGAGCCAGTCAGAACAGACAGAGACCACAAATATAGACGCTATTTAACTACTTTTATGCAGAACGTCATTTATTTGGGAGTAAGGGCAGGAAGATTTATAGGAGAGCCCCTAAATGCTGTTGGTCACGTGTCAGGTATGCAGGGGCCACGCTGTAACCCATGAAGATGAGCCGGAGCTGAGAAATTGGCTCCGAAGTGCATCATCTTCAAGGGCGATGGTTCTGCTGAGACAGCCTCACAAAAGGCAGCTCCCAGCTTGGTGTGTTAATTTGGGCTGGGAGTCCAGGCCAAGCACATCACCCTGGGGCTGCTGTCAATGCACAAAGTGGCCTCCATTAGCACCATCTACTTGGTGCACCAGACTGCTCTGAGCACACCGCCAAGGGCACTGTATCCAAAGCTACGGAGGAGCAGAGCGCCTGCTCCAGAGGGTGTTCAAACACTCAGATGTGCTACGCCAACCCCGTGGTTGGGGGTCCAGGTGGCAGCCTTGGAATTTCTGGCTTAGCAGACAAATCTTATACTTATGTCTTTTCTTTCTTTTGAGAACTTTAAAGCTATCGACAAACCTTGCTTTGCTTCTAGCTCCTCCTGGGTAAGCGGGGGCTTCTTTTCCTCGACAACTACACAAGGCGGGGCTGCGGCCGGGCTAGCGTTGGCGGCACTACTAGCACTTTCTTGGCCTTCTTTGCTTTCTTCATCATCATCGTCACTGTCATCATCTAGCTTAACTCGGTTTTTTTCCAAGGGAAGTAGATCATTTTCTTTGGCCTTGATTGCAAAGCTTATTGGAGCAAATGAAGCTATTGAGAGAAGGTGAGAAGTGGACACATTTTTAGGGAGCCAGTGCGCAGAGCTGAACCATCCCGGCCCTAACACTTACTTAGGCTTCGGTGGGTGGGAGGTAGCATCTGCAGTGGAGCCACATCGTATGCAGGGCTCTGTGGGCGCAAGGGCCGTCTCAGGGCCCAAGGGTGCTGTTTGACACCTCTGCGCTCCCAAGCCATGTTCAATAGGGGCAGCTCACACTGGACTCACAGGTAAGTCAGGACTGATGGGGCCTACGCTGCACAGAGGTCAGCTAGGGCCACAGCAGGGACGCTCCTGCTGAGCACCAGTTCAGGGTCACTTGCCATTTTAAATGATCAAATCATTTTTCTTTAAAATTTTTTTTCCTGGCTCAGCATGTAACAATCTGCACAAGCAGGCATAAGATGCGACTCCACTAGGCAAGGATCATCTTTCAAAAATCCCAGCTGTAAGACACTGTTCTCACAGAGCAACAGTCACAGAACTCATTCATTTACTCAGCCACCGTTTTGCTGGGTACCACGTCAGCCCAGGCTCTGCCCCTACAAGGAAGTTCAAGCCAGGCAAAACAAGAGTCCAGGTGATGCCCTTTCCCTAGAATATGGGAAAACAAGAGAAACACAAGCTCAACAAGAGAGCGTGGTCCCAGTCCCCACCTGCCGGGGGAGCACTGAGTTCCGCCTCCCTGAGACAAGGCCAGAATGGGTTACAAACAGCTCACCAATAGCTCAAGCTGCAGTAAGAGCCTGGTTTCTAACCATGGTGAGCTACTGCCTATGAGGGACACAGGTAAGCCACAGCAAGGGGCTTCCGTGAGTCTCACTTGGCCCACACTCATGTGTGGCGTGAGGACAACGAACACTGAGCTGTGCTGCCTGGCTCTGCGACACACAGCCACAGTCAGCAGTCATCCTGGCCCAATGCTGAGGGACCGGGTTTCCCATGCCACACTGGAAAAGCCACAGAAGGGAAGCTGCCTCCTGGGCCATGTGGTGTCTGTCTCCATTCCTGACGCCTGGCAACTGGGGCACCACAGGGCATTGAACCCAGGCTCTGTGGGGATAGGCAATGCCACCATCTTACTGTGGTGTGGCTATGTTTTTTTTTTTTTTTTTTTTTTTAATTTTTTTTTATTGGTTGTTCAAAACATTATAAAGCTCTTCACATATCATATTTCATACATTAGATTCAAGTTGGTTATGAACTCCCAATTTTACCCCAAATACAGATTGCAGAATCACATCGGTTACACATCCACATTTTTACATAATGCCCTATTAGTAACTGTTGTATTCTGCTACCTTTCCTATCCTCTACCATCCCCCCTCCCTCCCCTCCCATCTTCTCTCTCTACCCCACCCACTGTAATTCATATCTCTCCTTGTTTATTTTCCCATTCCCCTCACAACCTCTTATATGTAATTTTGTATAACAATGAGGGTCTCCCTCCATTACCATGCAATTTCCCTTTTCTCTCCCTTTCCATCCCACCTCATGTATCTGTTTAATGTTAATCTTTTCTTCCTGCTCTTCCTCCCTGCTCTGTTCTTAGTTGCTCTCCTTATATCAAAGAAGACATTTGGTATTTGTTTTTTAGGGATTGGCTAGCTTCACTAAGCATAATCTGCTCTAGTGCCATCCATTTCCCTGCAAATTCTATGATTTTGTCATTTTTTAGTGCTGCGTAATACTCCATGGTGTATAAATGCCACATTTTTTTTATCCATTCATCTATTGAAGGGCATCTGGGTTGGTTCCACAGTCTAGCAATTGTGAATTGTGCTGCTATGAACATCGATGTAGCAGTATCCCTGAACAGCCCTCCTCTTTTAGAGAGATGTGTGCATCATCTGCGGGGGAAGTGCTCTGGAGTGGAATCTAAGATGTGGCCTGGGGCCCAATGCAAGGTCTCACCCCTCTGGCCCCTCTCTCCGGATGCACTTGAAACAAAGTTAACAAAGCACACCCTTTATTGCCTGTGGGAATGCAACCTCTCTAAGGAACAAAGAATCCAGGGGCATTTTAAAAGGGGAGGGGAAAAAAAGCATGCACATTAAGCGTTAATTAATGAAATCACTCAAGCAGACTAGGATACACACAAAAGGACTTTAAGACAATTCTGCCCTGCCACCTCTTCCCTCAAGCTAGAAGAGGCAGCAATCAGCAAAGAGACCATTAGGATGAAAGCCCTGGAGCTGCCTTTCAGCACGGTTCACAGGCAGGGCCACAGCCAGGCACAGTGGGGCAAGAGACTTCCTTCCACCCCGCAGCCTCCATCCTTGCCTCTCTCACCAAGGCTGACACCCTGGGGGAGGACGGGGATCCCAGTTCCCACATGAGAGAATCAGACCTGGGCTCGCTCAGTCACAGGGAGGCTGCTTCTGCCTAGGACTCTACAGATCATAGCAGATGGGAGCTCTCCTGACAGCCCCAAGGAATAGCAGGGCACCACGTCACACACCAAACCCGCTCCTCCACAGTGTCAGGACCTGTGCAAGTGGGTCCGCCACAGTGCTTCCCAGGCAGGCCCTGCTGCCCCAGCTGAAGTGGAGCAAGCCCCAGGGCAGGCCAAGGCAGCAGGCAGAGCGGGGCCCAGGGAGCCTCCACTTCCTGTACCACAGGGCTTCTGCTCCAGGCATCAGCTGTCATGCCAAACTGCGGCCCAGAGGCAGCCGGGGTTCTCTGGGGCGTGGGGAGAGCCAAGTGAACAGAGGCAAGTCCAACTGCAGCTCAGGCAGGTGTGGGAAACAATAGGACACGCACTGGGTGCCATCCCTGCCCGCACACCTGGCGGGCTCCAGTGCCCCAGCAACGTCCCTGCACACACATGTGAGCTCCCACCTCAACAGGCTAGAGCTTCGTGGTGTGGATGCACCAGCTGACTTAACGATCTCCAACTGCTTTTGAGATTTTATTTTTTAAATTTTGCTGCCCAGGCTGGTCCCAAACAGTCCTCTGCCTCGGCCCCCAGAGTATCCAGGCTCACCACCACGCCTTGGGAATACTTTGAAACTACCACTTTGAGAGGCCAAAGCCAGTGTCTTTTAAGAGAATAAAAAAAATCTATTAGCTACCTCGCTTTCTTCTTTTCTGAACTATCTTTTCTTAAAAATCTCCTTTGTCCATTTTTCTACTGCACTGATACCTTCCTTATTGATTTGTAAGAGCTCTTTCCACGGTAAAGACATTGATCCTTTAATTAACAATGACCACCATTTAAAAATTTTCATATATATATATATTTAGTTATAGTTGGACACAATACCTTTACTTTGTTTATCTATCTTATGTGGTGCTGAGGATCAAACCCAGTGCCTCCCACGTGCAAGGCAAGCGCTCTACCGCTGAGCCCAGCCCAGTGACCAACCACCACCATTTTGACACGGTCTTGACTCTCCTCAGGCCCAGCCCCCAAGAGACCCACTGACCCTCCTTGTGGTTCATGGCTTCAATCTTAGAAACCCTTTCCCACCCCAAGATCATCAAAGCATCACCTGTACTTTCCTCTCCTCAATTTTACCTCCTACCCCTAACTGCTGGACTGAAATGGAACCACTACTGTTGGAGGCACCGTGATCTGATTTGACTTCTTTGTGGGGGTACAGCCTGCTTTCCCAGCTGGATTACTGCTGAACCATGCTTCCAGAGCATGCTCTCAGTATCATGAGATAACGACCGGGAAGCCTGCCCTATCGACAGGACACCCATAGCAGGGGGCAGATGCGGCACCACCTTGGGCTCCTGGGACAGGCCCCCTGCACCACGGCAGCACCTATGCTTGCGGTGGCCATGGAGGATAACTATTGCGCCCGAGCGCCTGCGGTACCTGTCTTCCTGGGTGCTCGGGAGCAGCTCTCCTGATGCAGGCATCTGCTTCCTGAGGGGAATCATACGGGCCTTTAACTTGTCCTGGCCTGCTGCCTACTTCTAGGGGCAGCTCACCCACCACTAGTTCAACTATTCTTTTAGGCAGACACATCTATGTCAGTTTCCTTCATTTCTTGACATGATTTTAGAAATTTATGCTTTTATTGAAAATGGTTCTCAGTGATTTCAAATTTACTCAAATCCTAGGTCGCATACACTATGCTGTGTTCTCAAAGACACCGACGTCTTCCTCTCGTCCGGGTGCATCTGCTCCTCCCTCCACTGAGAGCAGTGACTGCGTGCTGCTGGTGTCTCCCATGGGCTTTTCTCATTGCTCTCTAACTTGCGCCCACTGCCGTGCAGGCGCTTCCTCCGTCCTGGTGCTGGGACCACCCAGGGCCCTGCAGACACAGCACTCCCCCTCCTGAGCCCCAGCCTGCTTCCAAGGCCCTTGAGTTCGGTGCTTGCTTTGTTTTTATTTTTGGTTTGCCAGCACAGACAGAGCAGGCTGTGAACAGAGCAATGTTCTTCTTGTCCTTACTTTCGTGGTCCTATGACGCCAAGTGCTCAGCGCCTCAGTCATTCTGCTCTAGCACTCGGACCGCTTTATGGGCTCTTCAGATCTGCTTCAACTGCCCACATGCAACGGTACCAAGTGTGACGCGCTGACCTGTCCCCCCTTGGAGAACAGCCCACCTGCTCTTCTACCTGGATGCCTCTTCTGTCTCTTTCCTTTGAGATTTCTCAGAAAACCTAAAGGTGTTTTCTCACCCAGCCTGGTCCTTGATGACTTCTTCACATTAAGACGTGGCAGTTTATTTCCAAGCCATCTTACAGACGTGAGATCATCAGGTGCACTAGCTTGATATTTTCAAGGAGTACAAAGCAGAGACGTTGACATCTCTCCTGTCACAGGGGTGGGGGTCCGTTTCAGAGACCCAACAGCGCCTCAGCAAGCTGCAGCTTTCCGTCCCCAGCCTCACAGGGGGCCTGTGTTGTCCAGGACTGAGTTGGGGGTAGAAAGGAAGCCTGCAGGTGGGCAGCAAGTGTGGGAGCTACACTGGGGTGGGCAGGCCAGGTCTTGGGTGTCCCCAACTTGTCCAAGCCTCCCGCCCACCCTCTTCATTAACAACGGCTTCCCCAAAACCACTGCTCAAGTCCCAGCGTGTCCTTTCCTTCCCTACAAACCACACCCCAGGAAGGTGGCTTCCGATCCGGGGACAGCATTCCACCCTGGTTTCTGGAGCAGTGGCCGCCACTACCCAGCAGTCTACGTGTTTGGTTATTCCAAGGAGAGTTGAAGGTGGCCACAACGGGCAAGGGACTAAACACACGTGAGCTTCCTTGGGACAACTGGGTTACCCTGAATGACCACCACTCGCTCCCCACTGCACTGCCCACCCTCCTCCCCACTAGGAACTGCTGTCACTGCGCCTGCCTCTGCATAGCTGTGCTCCAGGCCACGGTCTCTCACAGCCTCCAAGGATGCCTCTGCCTGCATCTCCTTGGGAAGCCACTGAAGGATGAGGCCATCCCCCAGCAGGCCCGGGGCCTCATGGGAGGGGCAAAGCAACGAGCTGGCTGTCCCACTCCAGACCCTTTGTCCCTGGATGCTGAAGTCACTCAGACACTCTTCATTGGGACAGCAGGCGGCCAGCACATCCCACAGCAGCACCACTGTGAACGGATCCTCTCGATACTCATCAGGGGAACAGCTGCCTCCCCACTTCTGCTACGTGGGGCTCTAGGCAGCCTGCTCCAGCTCTCTCCTGGTCTCCACAGCACCAGCCACTCACACGCATGTGTGTACTGCTGGACCAAAGGCTCCAGGGAGAGAGCAAGGTGACTAAAAGCAAGAGCACATCGTGCTGCCTGGCAGAGGTACTCAGAGGGCTGCTTTGACCAGGAAAGAAAAGGGGTTTCTCGGTGCAATGGTTTGCAAGCAAATATAATTTCAGAAGTCTGAGGGGGATGACACATTATTTAATAATTCATAAACATTTCCTCTGAATTGCTCCAAACAGGCTGTTAAGCAAATGAATCCCCAGGACTAACTCATGGTTCACAGGACTCCAAACGCCCAGCCAGAACACAACCCAGCAAGCCCCACCCTGGCCTGTGTTCCAGGCCAAGAGGCTCTCCTGCAGCTCAGCGGGGCCTGCGAGCAGCCGCAGCAGCGCACCTTTTACCAGCTTCCCGTCCGCAGCGCTCTTACTGGACGAAGCTTCCTTCTTCCCGCCTGAGCTTCGTCCCCCTGCCTCGCCTGTGTCCTCAGGCACGCCAACCTCCCCGGTCTCGCTTGGCTTTTCAGGAGCAGATTCTGCAGGGGCCTCTTCTGGGGCTGCCACAGCCTGGGGAGAGTGACATCACCACACACCATTACATGGAAACCACATGACATCTGTCAGAACATGAGGGACATCACACAGTCACATTTTTAGATTTCAAATTTGTACTCGCTACTTTTTGGCACAGTAGGCTGAAGAGGAGTGGAAGGAGCTCCCCCAGTGCACGTGGCAGGGTGCTGCTCTGTCTCATGGACTGGGCCGTGGCACCTGTCCTGTCAGAACCCCACTTTCCCCAGGGCCTGCTGGGAAGCCAGCGTTCTTTCCTGTGAGCAACCTGAGATAAAGGCTGAGAGGAATCTGCAGAAGGCAGGAGGACAGCAAGGCAGTGAGAACGACAGCAGGGGGCTCTGTGAGGAGGGCGGGCCGCGTGGGCCCTGTGCTCGCTCTGGGCAGGCGGTTCTGTTTCACAGGCTCACGCGCAAGCCACGCAGCTCAAGTGCCCGTGCACACTTCCACCTGAGCAGGCAGAAGTAGCACCACCCAAGGCCACAGGGCAAGGAAGCAGGGGCTTTTGTTTGGCACGTGTTGGACACAGGCCCACGGAGAGCTGAGTGGTGGCTGCACAGGAGACACACAGCTGACCAGCACGGGCTGCCACACTGGACAGCGAGCACGTAGGGACCAACTTCTGCAGCCCCACGCGGGCTTCACGCCCTTGTCATTCGGGACACGCACCTGTGTGCCTTCACCGCCTTCTTTCTGGAGGAAGAACTGCTTCTTAAACTCATAGTAGGCATTGTACTGGTGCCATGGCTGCAGGAACTCGAATCTGTGAAGAGAACAAACACAGGCCACTCAACACACCGCAGCAGCCTCTCTGAGAACCTGTGTGAGCTGCGGCCTCCTGCTGCTGGATGCGACCAACTCCCACGGGCATCCCATCCATGCCACACGCGAAAGAGCCCGCAGCATAGGCACTACCATGCGGGCACATGGCTTAGGTTCCACTACTGGGGGCCAAGAGACGAGACTGGATTTTATGGAAAGGCTCCTGTCTAGACCCCAGGGCAGGCCCCCCCAGCAGAGGGAACCCAGCCTTTCACCTCAGGTGGCACAGACATTTCACTCACTTTAAGTAACTCTCAGTAATTTGACAAGCCAAGAAAAAATGTCTATCCAAAGACACTGAGCCATGAAAACGGGAAACTACATGGCTGGATTTTTAAAAGACCTAAATGAAAACCCCAAATCCCATGCACTGAATTTGCTTAGAATTCCTTTCTTTTCTGATGCCGAAGATGGAAGCCAGGTCTCGGGCATGCTAGGCCAGAGTTCCATTGATGAGCTGCAGCCCGATGCTTAAAACTGTACCTCTCACCTCTGGTCATTCTTGGCACGAACGCTGGTCTCAAATTTAAGGCCATTCCTAGCGACGTACTCCGCCAGCTTGTCAATCACAGGCTGAATGTCGGGGGGTGGGGGGATGATGGCGGCCACGGGAGCAAGTGCACTGTGGAGAAAGGCCCGGTAAGTCACACATTCCCCAGCGGCTGCACTGGGCCAGCACTGGTGGCTGAAGGTCCTCTTGGTCTGGGTCTCGCAAGGGGCGCAATAAATACAGGTGTTACAGAGAATACACGCTGAAGGCCCTTGCTCTGAAGATGCTGTGTTCTCCAACCAACAAAGCCAGTGCTCTCACATCACGACCAAGTACCATGGTCTATGGCGACAAGGAGCTCACTGGGGAGCCAGACACAGAGCGACAGAAACAGGTTTCATTTTCTTCTTAATTAAGGCTTCCCTTCGATGAGGAGCTAACTCTAGCAACAACCAAGAGTACATCACATGCTGCCTTTTTGTTGCTAGCACGACTCGACTCGACCTTTCACCTCCCACTCGACCTCCTCAAGAGGACAGGAACAGGGCCACTCTACAGAAATATGTAGGTGCTGCCTGGAGCCCATGCACCCTTACAAGCTACTAGGGGGCCTCCCTAGAAAGCCACAGTACCATGGCTTGCGAGGGCCTCAGGGTGTGCCCCGGGGCTGCATCACCAACCTCTTGAACCTGCACAGTCTACAAACAGTTGCCGCTCCCAGAGGGACCTGCCTGGTACTGCCTGATGGGATGCAGCACCAGGCACAGGGCAGACTCTGGGTAAGGGGTGGGTGGGATGCTGCACAAGCCACAAGTGCCTGTGGTCAGCCTTCACCATGAGGCACCTTCTTAACTTTGAGACAGGGCTAGCCTGGAACTTGGATCCTCTCACCTCAGCTTCTAAACCACTGAGATGACAGGCAAGCAGCACCACACTCAGCTTTTTAAGAACTTTTACGTCACGGTGCCGCAGTCTGGCTGGGCACAATCAGGAGCCACTTGTCAAAAGAAACTAACTTTATTTTTAGAACCACACACGCCAAACAAAACAGCCTCTCAGGAAAAACCCTCAGAGCCTCAACTGCCACCACTGGCTTTTCACAAGCCTCCTGTTCTGTCCAGTGCAGAACATGTACACGTACGCACTCACACCCAGGCTGGAGCAGGCCCCCCTCTTCAAGGGGTTCCTGGCCTGCTGTGGAGCTCAGGTGAACTAGCTCAGACTAAAACTAAGAGGCTCCGCCCCACACCAGGTACAGGCAGAGGCTCCATCCCTAGACCTGTGCCCCACCCCCACCCCTCCAGTCCTAACAGGTATTTGGGACTTGAGGTTCACGGCATCTTCAACTTTGCAACTTTGGGGTCTGAGTAATGACTATTCAAATCCAGAGGCTTAATCCAGACCAGGGCCCAAACTGAGAACGGAGTGGGAGGTGCATGTACCTTGTGGTGGTGGAGGAGGAGGTGCCGCTGCTCGCTTCGGTTGTGGTTGGGGGAGGTGGTGGTGTGGTCCCAGGAGGCGGCGGGGCAGCTGTCGTCACACTGGGAGAGCTGGACACAGTCACCCCAGCAGGAAGGGTGCTATAGTAAGTGGCCACGTCGATCCCTGGAGGGGGTGGTGCCAGGCAGTAGGTTCCGTCGGGTAACATGTAGTAGCTATAGTACATGGCTGCCACGGGTGCTGCAAAGACGTGTGGGGTGAGGCCGGGAGGGGGGCCAGGAGCACCCTCTGCCCCTCCTCTCACGGCACTGGCCAGGTGATAGCGGACCCCCGCCACCAGGGGAAGGTAAGCAGGCATGAGGACGCCCCAGCTGCGCACTGTGCAGCCCAGGAAAAATTTCCGCTGGCAGCAACTGGTGGCCTTTCCTAGGGGCCTGCCCAGCTGGCCTGCCCTGTTCTGACGCCAACTCCACATTCTCAGGAGAGTCTCTTTTCCACTTGACTGTTCACACTGGAAACAGTCCTGTCTGCAAGCTGACACCTCCATCACCCCTGCACCCCGTGATGGGGCACTGCCATTCATTCAGGTCAACGGCCCTGGGACTGCTCCTGGGCCTCCCTATCATCCACAGACGCACAACAGTTTCCTCCGCACAAAGGCTCACACCCATGGGACTGTAGGCCATTGTGCTAGCCATGAAGAGCCCTGCAGGCTAAAACACCTAATTTTAGAAAATATTCAAAACCAGCAGAAACCAAGAAGACTCAATGATATAGCTGAGAGTCTAGTCCTAATCCTACAGCAGATAAAAAAGGGTTCTCTATATACAGGTTTAATTTCTCCTTCATTAGAAGATGGCATACAGATTTTTTCCAATGAAGTGATTTTGATTTTCACTTTAAATAGCAACATGGTGAGACAAGTCCGCAGAACTTCAGTATGGCCATGGCTGCCACACTGCAGAGGGGCATTCAAGTCCTCAGTCATGAGCAAAGGCTTTCCACCCCAGGCTGGCAAGATGATGCCCCCAGGGCACTCTCTCCCCATGCAGGCCTGGCCCCGCCAGCACCCAGGCTCTGCTCTTCCCTCCACCTTGGCACAGGCACAGTGTCTGTCTGCTCTGAAGCACCCTGGTACTACCAACAGCTCCCAACCACGAAGGACTCACTTTTTATTAAGTAGACACAAACAAACTCCAAAATGTCCCTCTCTGGCTCAGTGCTACACACCAACCACTGTACACAAGAAAGGCACTATTTAAAATTTCAGAATAGGGTGTGTGGTCTCAACGAGCATGTCACACCAATGCCACACAGAGCATTTGCGTCATCTCTGGAGACAGCAGAACAGACAAGACCACATGAACAAGGAGGGGCTTGTGGCGCCTAGGCACTGTTCCGTGGGCACCTGTGAGGGCAGAGACCTTGTCTCTACCATCTCTGAAGCTCTAGCTCTGAGCACACAGCATGTGTCGGTGATACATGGTTCAAACACTGTCAAAGCTAAGCAGGCGTGTGAGAACCTGCCTCTGCCTCCCACCCTGGGCAGAGCCACCCGAGGGGAAGCAGGGAGTCCTCCAGCACAGGCGCCCTGAGCAAGGAGGGCGAGTCAGATGCTCCTGCTAGATCCCAGGCCTTGCTCATCTCGGTGAAGGATGAAACGCGCGGTTCTGTCCTGGCCAGTCTCCAGCTAAAGCCCAGGTTTGTTTTCAACTGTAGCCACAAGTAAGACCCCTGAAGCCCAAGGGCAAACAGTGGCTGGGACTTAGCTCCCATGAGGCAGAGTCACAAGCTCTAGCCTGCTGCACTCCTCCATGGCAAAGTGAGTACTGTGCTTCAAACCAAGCACCACGCCTTGAGAACCACCATGCCATCAGTCTGCGTGAGCTTCCGGAACCTCGCAGTGTGCCAACTGAACAAGGCATTAAACACAGCAGTGCTCATGACAAGGCAGGCTCGTGTGACTCAGAGACCCACCAACCTCAGACCTCCGAAGGTGCAGTGAAGACTGCACACAGCTTAGACAGTGCAGCAGGCCTGCAGAAGGGTGAGGGCTATTTAGGGGAGCAGTCGGGATGGACCCCAGGCTGCGCACTTCTAAGAGAAACCCCAGGCCTGATCCCCACGCTAAAGCCTGCCTAGGACACCTGCAACCCCAAGAGAGACTCACACAGAGGAGGGACAGTCCACACCACCCGCAACTTCTCACCCACATCCTTCGGCTCTCCCCAGCAGCACTGTAACCACCTGCTATGAAGGTGGGCAGGACGTGCGCGGGGAGAGGGTGGCAAGTGGGGGAGGCAGCAGAGCACAGGCCACTGTAATGTGACACTTTCTTCACACCACCCTGGGTGCTGCTCCCCGGTTCTCAATTCACGGACTGTGAGCAACGGGAAGGTTTTAGGGAGGTGGGATGGTTGAAGCCCCGAGTGCCCTCCCTAGAGGCCTGGCCCTGCCCTGGCGCCCAGCCCCAGGTTGCCCTGTTTCCTCTGTCTTTGGCACAGGCACAGGGCCAACAGGTATCCTTTCCAGACACCTCTGTATACACCCTGTGGTGGCTGGGCACGTCTTGCCCGGAGTGGAGACGACGAGACCTCAGCAGCGTGCACGCTCTGTACACAGCCTGGCTGGCTCAAAGTACTGCTCCAGGCACACTGGAATGATGTTCCCTGCAGACCAGCAGCGAGTGAGGTGTGGCCCTTGTTCCAGAGGCTTCCTGGCCATGGCCTGCAGCAGCAGGGCTGCTCACAAGCCCCTCCCTAGCCACCAGCTGAGCTAGGGCCCAGGGTCCCCCACAGCCAGTCTCCTGAGTGACACCACAGCTTGAGAGGTGCTGGGCCAGACCAAGGAAAGAACAAACCTCAGATCCACAACTGAGGTCTGTGGCCTCACACTGTTACCCAGGCCTGGAACTGCAGGGCTCTCCCTCTACAGCCTCCCAAGTGCTGGGACCACAGGTAAGCACCAAACTAAGCTGCTTCATGAGAACTGCAAAAACCTACTCCAATGGACCCAAGAGAGAAATTCCAGCAAGTGCCGTATTTTCTAAAGGAAGCACAGTGAGAGGAACAAGCTGCTCAAGGCGCAGTGCACACAGGAGTGCTCGTCGCATGTCTTCCTTAGGCGAGGCCAGAGAAGCCTGCCCCATGACCTCCCAATGCCCCTTGATGGGCTTTTTGCAAAAACTCTGAGCTCAGCCTCTGAGTTCTACGGAGGAAAACACCTTTCATTAGTGAACAGGCACCAGGAAAGCAGCACTGCATAGCTGCTCACGTAGCACCACTGAGCATCTCTCCTTGGAGGCAGCAGACATGTGGCAGCTCACTGCCCATGCCCAGGAACCCACAGCTGTGCACGGTGCTCTGACCCACCCGAAGCCTGTCCCTGTCTCCTGCATCTCAGCCTCCTTTCCTGGATCTGAATCACCTATTCATACACGTCCCGAGCATCTTGAGTTCAATGGCTTTAAATGCCACACTCTCTGACTGCGAAATCCATCTCCAGCTGGAGGGCCTTGGTGTGTGGCCGCCCACTTGGCACTCCTACCTGTCTCAGGTTTGTCTCCACACCCTCTCCCGCAGCTCCTGCCCAGAAATGCCATGCATCCACTTAGCTTGGGCTCCATGATTTCACAGACCCAAGGCTGATGCCCCCACTTGCAGCTCCACCCTCCTACTGCACAGCCCAGAGCTGACGGAGGCGGGTCACTCCTCGGCCACTGTTTCCTTTCAACCACAGCAAGCCTGTTCCTCGTCTGGGTGGCCCTCTCATGCAGTCCTATCTTCCTTCTCTGTCTCCCCTGACCCCCAACCCCTCTCAGGCTTCCATGAGAACCACTTCGCCAGCTTGCTCTGGACTTTTTTTTTTTTTTTAATATTTTTTAATTATAGGTGGATACAATAACTTTATGTGGTGCTGAGGCTCGAACCCAGTACCTCAGGCATGCCAGGCGAGCGCCCTGCCTCTGAGCCCCAGCCCCAGCCCCGTGCTCTGGACTTCTTTAGGCCGCCTCTGATCACAAAGGGACTGCCTGACCTGCTGTAACCACCCGCTCCACTGTGCTCAGTCTCACAGCAGTCCCTTTTCTGCAGGGACACGTGCCAGGACCCCAGGGACGCCTGACACTACAGACAGTGCCAAACTCTATGTGGACTCTTCATTCCTGTACATTCACACCCGCGACAGAGCTCGACTTGTAAAGCAGGCGCAGCGGGAGATTAACGCAGAAATTCACAGTGAGACAGAGACCCCAACACTGCGCTGCAGGGGAGGCTCTGACCGGCCCTGTCACTCACTGCCCCGCGCTGCTTGTGCTCAGCCTTCTTGGGGTGTGAGAGGATGCAGCCTGTGAGGAGAGGTAAGCGAGGCCAGGACCCTAGCATCAGGACGCAGCATTAGACCATCTCCTAAGAGTTGTCTGCACACAGGATCTGTGACACCATGACAGAGATCTGGTAACTGAGGCGGCTGTCAAATCACTGCCGGGAGGGCAGCACTGGACACAATGGGCAAAGGGGGCTCACATCCTTGGTGGGAAGCAGAGAAAGGGAAAGGGCCATGGTTTCATCTTGCAATGCAGAATGGTGTGCTACTTAAAACACAGGGATTATTTCTGGAATTTTCCATTAAAGGTTTTTGGACCATGTGTCCCAGAGAAAGTAAAAATGAGAAAAAAGTGTTCATCTGTGTCATCTGTCTGTGTTCTCTGTGGTGTCAGCTCCATGATGGGAGGAATTGTGCCCGTGCACTCCTGGCACGGTACCCACAGTGCAAACTTGTTCAGCAGATCACAAACGGCACGGGAGAGAATCAGAATGGCAGGCTTCTCAGCAGAGGCAAAGCTACTAGGAGACGGTGCACAGAACAGTCCAGAATCTGAGGGCACATAATTTCCATCCCACAATTCTAGGGCCATCTCACATCTGTCCAGTGAAGACAGGATTAAGGCATCTAGGCTACCTAAGGATAAGGTGTCTTCCACGTACCCTTTGCTGGCAGTTACTGAGGACACACTCTGGCAAAGCACAGGAGCAAACAACAAGAAGGAAACAAAGAGACCAACACAGACACAGAGCAACACGGGGCTGGGGCAGGAGGAGCACAAGTTCAAAGCCAGCCTCAGAAACTCAGCGAGACCTAAACACTTGCAGGTGGCCAGCAATCTGGGCATGCTTAGGGACATCAGAGCCCACAGCACCTGCAGAGGGGCTGCTGACCCAGCAGTGGAGACATGGCCACGG